GATGCTTTTACGCTTTTTGAACGTACCGGACGGGGGCCCGGTGTATGGCATCTTCTCTTGCAATCCACTTGCTGCGTGGTACGGCTTGAATGGACGCGTGCACGCCCACCGGCGCACCGTGCGGGAATTCGCACGCTTGCTCCGCATGGGCAGCGGGTCCTTCGCTGTCACTCCGTGCAGCGTGTTGGAAGACCGGCGCGCCACTTTTCGGCTGAGCTTCAGTGTCCTTGGGGTGTGTGGCGCGCTCGTCGCAGTGGAACCGTTTGCCGATGAGGTCTCGCTCGTGGCACCTTGACGTCGCACCCCTCCGCTGCGCTGCGGCTGCCCCTCGTCCCACACTTGCATGCTCCTGACAGAGCGCGTCTTGATTCTGAGGAATCGATCGGGCATTGCGACGCGATTTTCACGCAAGTTCTGGACCGCCACCACACAGGAAAAATCCTTGACGTGACCGCATGCTGTCAACGACTCTGCCACTGCAATCATCTGCTTGCATGTGTTTGTATGCAACCTACATGTGGGAATCTTATGGAATATGTTGCTTGTTTGTGTTTCTCTGATAGCGCGTTTTCGCTGGACAGGAATCAGACACGCAGTGCTATACATTTCATGCGTTCTTTCCTTGCCATGTCATGCTGCGCAGTTGTGTCTCCAGACCACTTCGGCACCTGAACTGACCTGTCACTGTGTCTGCACACCTGAACATCCCCTGCTTTGGAGTTTGGCTCAAATCCCTTTTCTTTCGTCTCGATCCTGCACCCCAATGGCGATGTCTTTGCTTGTGCTCCTGACAGCCGGGGACCTGCTCCCCACACTGGCTCAGGTCGTGCCATTGCCCAGCTTCTTGCTGTTGCTCGGCATTGCCCGGCTGTGGTCACTTCCTGAGCAGATCGCTCTGCTGCGCCGGCACAATTCTCTCTACAATTTCGTCATGGATTGCGTATATCCGGCGCTGCTTCAAGGCATCTACTGCCCAGGCATTGGGCGCGCCCCAAGCGGCATCTTTTGCGCCGACAAGGCCGCCGCGACATTGTCTGCCGCTGTGAGACGGCTGCTTCGTGTTGACGCTGCTGCCTCGCAGCCCGTGGCAGCATTGCTAGCAGATGCCGCTGGGGGGCCAATGGCCGCTTGGCATTTGTGCAATCCGGATACTCCGGCGTGGATTTCTCTCTCCGGCCTTCTAACCGACCGGCGCCTCCATCACCAGCGACATTTTGAGTTCTACCATTTGCCCGGTGGCTCGCGCTGCTTTGTTGTGCATCTTTTGCTGGATAGCTTCCGGTTCGCTCTGCTCTTCGAATCAGCACCCCCTGGTGTTGTGGAAATTGATTGACATTGATGCGAAGCTGCTTCGACGCTCCAAAACTGTGAGATTCTGAGGAATATGGCCGTGCCCTTCCCTGATCGTGCGGATTTCGCTGACATGTTAAAAGGTTCCCTGTGCTACGCTGTCCGGTTGTTCTCGCTGTTTGCGTGCAAACACTTCGATGTTTGGTTGCGCTTTGTGACTCTTTCCCAGCGACTTGTTGCACGATTCTGCGTTTCCTGCAGCCATTTCTGCTCCACTGCCACAGCCGCGTCGCTGCTGCGCCCTTCTACCTTCTTTTCGTACTTTGCTATGGCTTCTGCTGCGCTGGCGTCCCTGCCCGTGGACGTCCTGCTGCGGTTGCACATCTTCCTGGGGTGGCAACTGGCTCCGGTCTTCGCGCGGGTGGCCCAGTGTGCTGCGCCCTCGGCAATCCTTGCACACGCGGAACAGCAGCTGTGGCTTCTCTCACAGGCGCTCATGGAACCAATCCCGGTTCCTACCATGCCGACGCTGCTGCGTCAGTATGGTGCTGTGTGCAAGGAAGCCGCCGCAGCCGTCCTTGCACGGCTTGCCGGCCTCACCGCGGCCGATCTCGTCTGGCCCGGCCTCCACGAGGCTGCGCCCGCGTCCCTGTGGCGCCGCACATGGCACGACAGCAGCGCCACTGTCGAAGCCATCCGGCGCCAGGTTCTGGCTCGGGAAGCCTTCGACCTATCGAACTATCTTGCCTTTGACCTGGGCATCTCGCCGCAGCCACTGGTTGCATGGCAGGAATTGAACAGGGAAGAGCCCGAGGCCGACGAATTGGTGGCGGGCTTTCTGGACCTCATCGACGCTGGTGAGGCAACGTACCTTTTTTACCCACCAGACCTGGAAAGCGGCCGCCCACCCTGCGTCCTCCTGAATTTCACCGTTTGGGGGGTGGGCGGCACGCTGGCTATCGAAGAGCCAGAAGTGGACCCAGCTGGATTCTACATCTAGGTGATGAGCCGTGCTGGAGCTGCACTATGCCTGTCGGATGTGAGCTTTTCTAAGCATATCGTACGTCGTGCATGTCACTCCTTCGGATTCGCACTGACATGCAAAAGGTCGAATGTGCTGCGCCCGTCCGCACCTGCGAGTCTTGCTTCCAAAATCGCTTTCCAAGCCGTGCCTTCCAACCCTGCATGGGGTGTGCCTGTCATGCATCGAATGTTTTCTACTTCTGTGGTCCTGTTGCCTGCATGTTTCTTCTGGCTCAAGCTGTGTCACTGTTTCATGTTCTATAGATCTGTACGGAAGCGCGCCACGTGGCTGAACATGGACCCTGCCAGCTCTGCTGAGGTCATGGTGCACCTGACGCACTGCCCCTTCTGCGTGCCTGCTGCGCCTCTGCGCGCCGACACCACGTCCTCCCAGGTCTGGGGCTTATCCTACTCCAGTGGCTTTCAAAAACTTTCGGTCCGACGCAAGCGGTGCGATTCCTGCCGCGCCCTCTTCCTTGGCTGCTGGGCCTACTCCCCTGGTGGTCACTCACGCACGCGAATCGCGTGTCATCCGAGGGAGTCGGCTTGGTTCTTCTTCCGAGAACGGATTCATGCAGGCAGCTTCGTTGCAATGCATGTCGACTACCTGCGGTTCATGACCACTGCCTTCATCTTCTTGCGCGCGTCCTTTTCGGGGCTCGTCAAAACTGTCCACGCCATGTTTCCTGGGCACCGACTCAACCCGAACGATTGCCAGCGCTGTCTGGAGCATGGCTGGTTCTTACACTCTGCACTGAGCAACACCTGGAGTGAAGCAGAGTTGTTAGGCGAGGACTTTGACTTGCGCCTCGATTCTCTGGATGCAACTCTTTTAGGCTACGAACCACGCCTTCGTAGCCTTCTGCATCAAACAGGTTCGACGCATCATTGTGGCGCATGCGCGAACCCAGTGCTCACGGGAGACGGTGGCATGAAACTGACCACCTCTCTCTGCAACGAGCGCACCAGCGCGTCTCTCAGAAGTGAGGAGCTGGGCCTCTCCATTCCCATCGGCTGCACGTGCCGCCCGATCCGGGGATCTTTGTTCTGCAGAGCACACCAAGCTGACGCTGCCGAAATGCTTCCTCCCGAAATACGCGATCACAGGCGCGTGACAGGGCAGGGGCGCCTATCCTTTCGGTACACTGGGAGTGACGACTTCCTGCCCGTACAGTCCATGTCTGCTATTCGTCTTCGACAGTACGATTCTCGCCTTGCTTTGCTGGACTACGCTGCTGCAGACCCTACGCGCTTTGCGCCTGGTGAGTGCAACCCGGTGGGAGAGGCCGGCACTTAGCTGGCCTTGCCTTGCTCCGGGGTAATTTAGGATTATAAAAGTATATATAGATGTGAAAGAAACAATAAAAACCATTCTCAATTGATTTCACTGCCTCCCATGGGTTGCCTTTTTCGGGCAGGTTGTGTCTGTGTTTGTGCATATACCCCCGTTCGTCGCGCCGTGCCAGGATGCATTGCGTATGGATGATTCAGATTATGAAGCCGTGAAGGCATGCAACTGCCTCAAGGACGAACGAAAGAGATTGGCAGTTCGTCGGTATGCAGGTGTGTTTGTGGTGGTGCTGCCCTGTGGGCATATCGTTACCGTGCACCATCTGGTTGGGGCGGAGAGTTTGCCGCAAGTCGCCTATTGCTTTGCTCAGGCGCTGAACATCACCGCCGGCAAACGTTTCATTTGCTATGACAATGCCTGCGCGCTGGCGCGCTTCTGTCGGAACCCCGTGCGGGCCGCTCAGATGCAAATCTTTCGCGACCGTGTCTTTGTTCTTCCGGAGTCCCATCTCCGAGGGCACACGGCGTGCCTTGACCCGTCCCATCAATTTTTCTTGCCGGAAGTGCGCAAGTCCGCGCATCCGGAACTGGCCGGGGTCAACACCGAAGCACAGGAACACGTCTTTGCCTGGGCTCGCTGGCTGGTTCACGTTGCCAATCCAATGAAACCAGTTCGTCATCGTGTGTTTTTCCTTCTCCTCTGTTTGGCGCGCAACGAGCATCGGGGTCTCGGAGCACGCCCCAGAGCTAGCCGCCCCAACCGGAACTGGAATGTATGGCGTGGCGCTTTCCCTCGCCGACCTGCGGACGGTGATGATCCAGAACAGCCTGCGCCTGAGCATGCTGCTGTGCCTGCCGCAGCGGTCGCCGCAGCGCCGCTCGACGCGCGGCCTGTTGCCAATGATGACGTGCAGCCGTCACTTCTCTTGAATCTCCGCGACAACAAGCTTCATCGATTGGCAGCGCCGTTGCGTATCTCCTGCGGTGCAACTCTGCCCAAGCGCTGGCGCTACCTTTCTTCCAGAGATGAGGTCGCCCGCTCCAAGCTTTGCCTGCGCAACGGCTGCTTCTCTCCTGGCGCAGATTTTTAATTGCGCCTTTGTTCTCAACTAGGCGTTTTCAAGCGTTCGTGGATTCACAGCTGCTCGGGGGAAAAAAATGGCCCGTTGCAGCCACTGTGTGTGCCTGTCGCTAGGTTATACCCTGTTTTATAGCATGTGTCCTTCCAGTGCGGCATTCCAGCGGCACATTGTCACGCATTTAGCAAATTCTGGCGGATGATGGGGCAATTCCGGCCGACTTCCGCTCTCACATCATGCCTCATGCATTCACTCTAGCCTGTTCGGTTCACATCCTTCTTGATATTGCGTGCTCCTTTTCGCTGACCCCCACGAGCCATGTGCATTTTCGCGCACGCGGTGTGGTCTACGCTTGCGGCCTTCGTCTTTTGCAAGGTCTTTTCCAACCTACAGGATGGCTATGCGCGCTTCTCTCGAAGGGCTTCAACCACGCGCGCTCATTTCCTCCTGGTTCGTGCTCGTTGCTTGGCTTGCATTCAGAAAGTTTTGTTTTCTATAGGCTTGAGCACCCCCGCAGTCTTACACAACCACCTTGTTTTGCTTGGCTTCATCTCTCCTGCAGGACCTGCTGAAGCTCTGCGGCGCGCGCGCTGTCGTGCGACTGCCTCCTTCCTCTTGCACCTGTGCCTTTACGCGCCGGCGCTCCTTGCCTTGGCCGTTGCATTGAGTGCCTTCGCTGTGCTGTATATGGCGTGCTGCTTGCTGCGCTATACGCTGGGGCGGCTACTCTACGGTGCTGACCAGGCGCAACAATGCTGCGCGTCTGCCGCTCCGCCCCCGCTGACTAACGAAGGATTCCTTTGCACTGATGAAGACGCGGATTATTTCGTGGAGGTCTTGCCTTTTCGTCTGCTGCCCCTGCCCCTTGGCTCCAACACGGGACAGCTATCATTGGTGTTCCTGTTGGGTTCCTTCTTTCTGATCCCTCCCATCCCCGTCTCTTCTTTTCCTTTGTCATGTCATGTCACCTCTTCGTTGCTCCTTGCTGAGGCTCACCGATCCAGCATTCGAAGGTCATTTACTGCGAGCTCTCCATGGACTTTCTTCTGTTCCTGCATTTTCTTTCGTGCTGCTGCTGTCTCATTCTGCACGGTCCAATTGGAACTTGCTTTGCAGCCTGGAAGCAACTTTGGTCGGGGACGCCTCGAGTTTGTGCGCTGCCATTGTGCCCGTGCTTCGGCCAATCCTGCCTGAACAGCTGCGAATCTTGAGCCTGACCACGGGCCATGCCTATATACCATTCGCCCTCGAAGCACCTGCCCCGGATCAACCCTTGCCCGCCATATGCCAGGATGCGTGTGGGGCTTGGAGCTGTGGTTTCCTCACCCCCTACATCATGGAACCTGCCCCTTCGGAGCCAATGGCACTTTGCGAGGCTACTTTGGATGCTGCTGCAGAGGCTGCGACTTCTGAGCCAAGTGCTACCCGCAACAATGTTCCGGCCATCGCTCCGACACCGGCTACTTCTGAGCAACGTGCCTGTGGCAACCTTCTGAACTGTTCTGCAGAACCGGATCTTTCTGACCCAAGTGACACTCACAACCCTCTGGACACAGCTGCAGAAACAGCCACTTCTGAGCAAAGTGCGCTGGACAGCATTGAGGATATTGTCGCGCAGAGCTTCCAACATGATGCGAATTCCTTTCTTGGAGCTCTCGGCTGCTTGGCCCCTTTTTCCTTCGAGGTGATGCTTGCTGCTTTGAATGAGTCGCGATCCATTGATTGCCCTTCACTGACATGGGCCCAGGTGTCGGCTCTAGTTTCCTGTCTCGTTGCGGCCCTCCCTCAGGGCATCATCATCCGCAACCTCGACCCCGCGATCACTTGGTGGGTTGCGGGTGGTGGCTACCATCGACACGTTGCATTCTGGGATGTATCTCCGTACCTCTTCTTGGAGCGAGATCCAGAAGGACGCTACCGCCCATTGATGCACTTGCCACTTTCCATGCATCCCGACATGTCACTTGAGCTCCAACTTTCCACGTGTTGGATTGCAACTTGCGAACCACCCCTTCGGGCAACGGTGCCTGGCAATTGCTTCTTTGCAGCGCTCGGCTATGATCGCAATGTCCTTCTCACGCTTGCGCTGCAAGCTGCGTACGCGCTGCCACTGCGCACGAGGGCCCGCATCGTGCAACGTCTTCTGACCTTGCTGGTGCCTGGTACTTGGGTCAATGCTTTGGATGCTCAGATCTTCGTCAACCTCCTGCCAGCTTGGTTCCCCAATGGCCTGTTCATCTTCAGTGCTGAAGGTCTGCTGCTGCATTTTCGGTCTTCTCAAGCACCAGAGAGCCTGCTCCCCGAGGACCGGTCGCTTCTGTCCCCGTTGTTTTGAACATGTTGATGCACCACGGCCTAACGTTTTCCTTTTTTAACCTTTGCTTGTTTCTCCCTTTGCCGTTTCATGTTCCCTTTCAGGCGTTGTGTGCGCTTGGCTCCGCTCCGCTGCTTTACTATGATTGCAATCATTTCTCCCGCGCCGCCCTGTGGGCGCGTGGTTCCACCCAATGGTTCGGCGAGACGAGGCAGCATGACACATTGAGGTCGCACCGAGTCCTTCGCATCCCTGCGCACTGGGTTTCAGCGTTTGCGGTCCGCATGTCAGGGGGCGTCCGCAAGTTTTCCGAGAAAGAGATCTTGGACGCGTTTGGCTCGGCTGAGGAAGTGCCATTTCCCATGGCTGCTCTCGAGGAATTGCTGCCTGAGGTCTGCGGGCATTGCAAGCTGGTGGCAGACACCTTGAGCGTGCCCCTTTCTTGGGTTCTGCTCACCGAAGTCTGTGCTGCAGCCTTCTTGGCCCCGACCTCCGTGCTCATGCCTACTAAAACCATGCCGCTATATGCGATGCCGTGGGCCTTCATTCTGCATCCTGGTGCGACCCAGACCAGTGGATTGATGTCGACCTATAGTCGCACCTTCCGCCAACTTGAACTGTGGGAAACCGATTTCCAAGTGCGATTGGCAAAGGAGCAACCCCGGCAGAATGAACAGGTGCAGGAGGGGCAAGATGCAGGTGAACCTGTCCAAAAACGCGCGCGCTCCACTGCCCCCGCTGCTATGCACATGGGGTTTACGTCAGGGAGCCTTGATGGCATTGTCGGCCGCATGGCCGAACCACAGAACATAAGCCGTGCAGCGGCATTCTTGGCCGAAGGCCTTATCTTTTTGAGCTGGATTTCTGATCTTTGCTCCTCTCACAAAGGGTTGCTCACACAGCTCACCGATCGACTCCTCTGGGACAAAGTCACGGTCAAGGCTCGTTTTGCGTCACGCTTTGCCATTTCCATGTCTTGACATGTCTTGACATTATTCATTGCATCTGTTCCTGCTGCATCTTCTGGTTGTCATTCTTGTTGTTCCCCCCTGGCCTGTCAGGACCGCACGACCGTCATGGTCGACGCCCCCTTCTTGGGCATTTGTGCTGCAGTGCATATGGAAGAACTGATGTCGGCCATTGGCGTTGAAGACCCCCTGGGGTTAAGGGAGCGGTTGCTGATCATCTACGAGCGTCCTCGCTTTGTCCGCTCGTCGGAACTGCAAGAAGCATGCTCCCGCATCCCTGCCCAATCCCTTCACGCGCATCTTGCAACTCACTTTTGGGCCCTTCATTGTGTGCATCATCCACAGCACCCCCCCAAGTCCCGCTTCGTCGCGGATCTCAATTACCACTGGTTGAAATACAGCTGGCAAGAAGATGCGGCGAAACTGTTTTGGGACAACTTCGATGACAGGGCCGGAGAACAGGAGGCCGCCTACCGCCTCGACCAGCAAGCGGCCAAAAGAGCTGGCAAGTGGAAAACTCGCCATTTCCGCTTGGCTTTGCCTTTTCACAACTTAGCACAGGCTTGCGCGAGGACCAGTATAGAGGACTGGAACACTGAGGTGTCCTACAAGGCTGCCAAGGCGAGCCTCATCTTCAGCACCTGGATGGATGACGTCTTTCAACGCCTCGACTTGCTGCGCGCTGCGCCTTTGCCACCTCCAGGCCCCGCAGCCGCCGCAGCCCCATCACCACGCGAAGACCTTCGAACTCTGCTGGCTTCCGCTTCCCTTGGCGCTGTCCTGAGCAACCAAGTGAATTTGCCCCATCTTCGCATTTTCATGCTGGCTGTCCTAGCGTCCGAGAAAAGGCCACTCTTGCGAAATCACGACGTCTTGCACCTGAAGCCCGTTTTAGCCTTGAATCTGCAGGCTGCTGCAGGGATATACCACAGCAACCGCGCTCTGAAAGCATTGAGCCTGCTCGGGTTTGGTGTGGTCACTTTAAGCACCAACACATCGGGCACAAAGGTCCTGTGGTTCACGAAAATCCCTTCGGAGGACTATGCCAGTCCTGCCCTGCAGCGCAGTCGGTCTGCCTTGGCGATCCCAGAGCCGAATGGCTTTACTTCGTGGAACCGTGCACAAATCTTGCAAAACAAGCAGAAGAACCAGGAAGCCATCGTCTACCCTGATCTGGCTGCTGCCGAGGTGCAAGCCTCGATCGCCGCCGCTGCCACCGCCTGGGAAGAGATCACCACGGCGCCAGTATGACTTTTAAAAAGCTCCGCCGCGGTCAGCCTGCTGTCCCTTTTCCCTTGGCTTGTGCCGTTTGCTCGCTGTTGGATGGCGTCCTTGTACCTTGCAGCCTTCTCTGTCCAGGCATACCTTTCCTTTGCAGCATTTTTGGCTCTGTCGCGCCCGTTCTCGTTCTAGCGCGTCGGCTGACCCTCAGCAGGCGCGGCGCTGCTTCGTGCATGTCTGCCTGTCGATCGTCCATCCCTCTTGCCCATCCGACCGACGAACCCCCTATGCCGCTGCACCAACGAAACCGACCCGCCATGCCTCCGTCCCCCCAACCACACACACACACAACCGCACCCACAACCACAACCACAACCACAAGAAGAAGTACAACTGCAACAACAACACCCGCAGCAACAAGAAGAACCCCTTCCGCCCTCACTTGCCTGGCCGCTCCGCCACCCTGCCTCCGGATCCTTCTCCTTTGCAGAAAACACCTCCCCCCTTCCAAAGAAGACCCCTCCCCCCTTCTAAAGAAGATCCCCCCCCCCCTTAAATACTCCCCCCCCTTCTTTTTGAGCGGGGGGGGGGGGCCTGGGCTTCTGGGAGCACAAGTTCTTCGTGTTTGGCATCAGCAGCATCACTAGTTGCCATTTTCTGGTTTCAGCTAGAAAAAAGCGCCGGCGAGGTGAGGCACCCAAAATTGCAGATTCTGTGACGGAACTGATGGTCAAAAGACAACAACTCACTTTCATCAAGCAGAAACCCACTCACTTTCATATATTTTTACCTCCCTGCCAAAGCGTGCACAAGCGCTCTTGGAATGAAGAGACGGGCACGCCCTCAAACCTTTTGCTGTCAAGCAAACGCTGCGCAGCACCTGGTAAGTCTTGTATATACTCTATCCGCCAAATAAACGCTAAGCGTCCATAGCCCCCTCCCCCCCTAAAGAAGACCCCCCCTCCCCCTTAAGAAGATGCACCCAGTCAGTCATTTGTTCAGCAGTAGGGCCTTACTGCCAACCAAGCAACGATAGGAAGCAGGGGATCCTACAAGTGATTGCATATCTAGCATTTGCAATGCATTGCTAAGATGCATGAATCTCTTCCTTTACATGTCATGTTTGAAGAGGCGTATATCCAAGCAAATATAAATAGTGTCTCTCTAAGTGATGTCGATACAGGGATCCAAAAACAACGACGATCTTGCAAAACAAACATCGGAGATTCTCTCTAAGTGATGTCGATACAGGGATCCAAAAACGACGACAATCTTGCAAAACAAACATCGGAGACGCGAGAAAAATGTCTTCCGAGATTGGACGTTAGTGACGACTGGGGGAATCTTGAATGGGGTGCTGACAGGAACTTATCGTCATAAGGGAGTAAAATCCGGCACCCCACCTGACAAATATGTTGAATGGGATGTTTACAGAAACTTATCTGCAAAAGGGATCAAAAATCCGGCACCCCTCCACAAGCGCCAATACATGAATGCAGGGTGGGTCACTTCGACCCAGACAAATGAAGCCATTGTTCTTGACTGCGCACACGTAGCTGACGCTTACCTGCCCTGTGGCACCACAGGTCTGCTCAACGCGTGCTCCCAAGCGAAGCATGGCAGGTACAGACGGGCGTGACAGCTGAAGCAAAAAGCTGCAGAGATTTGTGCGAAAATTGATGGAACTCATGGTGACTGTGTGATAGCAAGCTTTCCCACAAGCGATGCTTCAATTGGAAGCTTGCAGAGCACCGCAGGATTGCAGATTGAACACCCACTTCTTTATAGCATCCACACTTATCTCAGTGCAAGACATTGCCCATTCCCCAGGGAAATGTTTTGTGGTTACCACCTCATCTGAAGATAAAGCAATCCCAACGTGAATTGGACAATGGCACTTCAAGTCAATTGTTTGTGCCGCCCCGGACCAGCAAAAAACGCTAGTAGGGAAACAGTTCAACTGCCTTGCTGGTGCGCACTGCCTACTAGATTTATCCAAAATAGCTAAGCCGGGACAAAAACTGTACAAATATATATAATATATATACATATATATACTAATGCTTCGATGTTTTTCGTATATACGCAGAAACATTCAAGGTTGTGTATGATGATGTCACTAGTACCGGTAGTGCCGCACAAAGCGGTGGCGGAAGCGTCAATGGCACTAGGGCACTGGAGTTGTTTAGGCACTGGGGCCCGACACATGGCACTGGGCCACTTACAAAGCCACGGAGGCCACATAAGGTACATGACACTGGGGCCACTTACAATGGCACCAGGGCACTGGAGCTGTTGAGGCATTGGGGCCACTGGGGCACTGGAGCTGTTTAGGCACTGGTCATAACTGGTTATAACTGGTTATAACTGGTTATAGCTGGTTATAACTGGTTAGAGCTGGTTAAAACTGGCTATAACTGGTTATAGCTGGTTATAACTGGTTATAGCTGGTTTTATCTGGTTATAAATGGTTATAACAGGTTATAAGTTGTTATAACTGGTTATAACTGGTTATAACTGGTTATAGCTGGTTATAGCTGGTTATAACTGGCTATAACTGGTTATCACTGGCTATAACTGGTTATAGCTGGTTATAACTGGTTATAGCTGGCTTCTGCTGGTTATAGCTGGTTATAACTGGTTATAACTGGTTGTAACTGATTTGAACTGGTTATAAGTGTCTAGAGCTGGTTATAGCTGGTTATAACTGGTTATAACTGGTCGTGGCCAGTTGTGACTGGTTATAACTGGTTAGAACTGGTTATAACTGGTTATAACAGGTTATAAGTGGTTATAACTGGTTATAACTGGCTATAGCTGGTACATGGCACTGGGGCCATGTACAAGGGCACTGGGGCCAACTACATTGGGGCCACTTACAATGGCACTAGGGCAGCGGAGAGTGACGGAGTAGTTGTTAGGCTAAAACTGGTGGTGTTAAAACTGTTATAATGGTTATAAGTGGTTAGAACATGGTTATAAACTGGCTATAGCTGGTAACATCGGCACGGGGCCGCTTACAAGGCCTAGGGCAGCGGGTGTTCAAGGCACTGGGGCCCCGACCAGGGCACTGGGCCATTACAAAGCACTGGGGCCGGATACATGGCTTTGGGCCATTTACAAGTGCACTGGGGCCACTTACAATGGCACTAGGGGCAGCACGGAGTGTTTAGGCCATGGGCCCGACACATGGCACTGGGCCACTTACAAGGCAAAGGTGTGGAATAAGAGAACGGAACGAAGCTCGTTTACCTAATCCACCCGTACCCCCCTTGCCCCACCCTCTCTTTCACCTCTTCCCCTCATTCCTGTTCGTCCGCTCCTCCCAGCTTGTCCCTACCCCCTTCTTTTGCATCTATCGGCCGGATAATGGCTTTTGGGGCCCATTTAAAGCGCACTGGGGCCCAACTTACATGCACTGTGGCCACGTTACAATGGCACTAGGGCAGCGGAAGTTGTTAGGAACTGGGCCCGACACATGGCACTGGGGCCAACTTACAAGGCCACGGGGGCCACAGAAGGCACTGGGGCCGGATACATGGCTTTGGGGCCATTTACAAGGGCACTGGGGCCAACTACATGGCACTGGGGCCACTTACAATGGCACTAGGGCAGCGGAGTTGTTTAGGCACTGGGGCCCGACACATGGCACTGGGCCATTTACAAGGCCACGGGGGCCACAGAAGGCACTGGGGCCGGATACATGGCTTTGGGGCCATTTACAAGGGCACTGGGGCCAACTTACAAGGCCACGGGGGCCACAGAAGGCACTGGGGCCGGATACATGGCTTTGGGGCCATTTACAAGGGCACTGGGGCCAACTACATGGCACTGGGGCCACTTACACTGGCACTAGGGCAGCGGAGTTGTTTAGGCACTGGGGCCACTGGGGCACTGGAGCTGTCTAGGCACTGGTTATAGCTGGTTGTAACTGGTTATAACTGGTTGTAACTGGTTACAACTGGTTATAGCTGGTTAGAACTGGTTACAACTGGTTATAGCTGGTTAGAATTGGTTAGAACTGGTTATAACTGGTTATAGCAGGTTATAACTTGTTATAACTGGTTATAGCTGGATATAACTGGTTATAACCGGTTATTACTGGTTTCAACTGGTTTTGGCTGTATATAACTGGTTATAGCTGGTTATAGCTGGTTTATGCTGGTTATAGCTGGTTATAAGTGGTTATAACTGGTTATAACTGGTTGTAACTGGTTATGGCTGGCTATAGCTGTTTATAACTTATCACTGGCTATAGCTGGTTTATGCTGGTTATAGCTGGCTAGGTTATAACTGGTTGTAACTGGTTATGGCTGGTTATAGCTGTTTATAACTTATCACTGGCTATAGCTGGTTTATGCTGGTTATAGCTGGCTATAAGTGGCTATAACTGGTTATAGCTGGTTAGAACTGGTTATAACCCCCCCCCCCCCTGGAGAAAACCCCCCCCCAAAGAAAACCCCCCCCCCCCGTAGGAAGATCCCCCCCTTCCAAAGAAGACCCCCCTCCCCCCCTTGAGAAGATCCCCACCCCTTCTAAATAAGGCCCCCCTTCCCCCCCTGAAGAAGATCCCCCCCCTTCTAAAGAAGACCCCCCCTCCCCCCTCAA